TTCGACTGGTGGAGAGAGCTCGGTTTGGTGGAGAGGATGATGAAGACCCTCATAGGTTCGTAAACCGATTCCTGATGATCTGTGACTCGACCAAGCATCCTCAAGTGTCCAATGATGCAATCCGATTAAGGCTGTTCCCTTTTGCTCTTAAAGGAAAAGCTTTGAATTGGTTGGAGAGGCAACCTGCAAGAAGTATTCCCTCATGGGAGAATTTATCAAACAAGTTCTTTGCTGAATTCTTCTCATTGGAGAGGTACAATCAAATGGTGAATGATATCACCAATTTCACCCAAGCTGAGGGTGAAACTATGTGTGCAGCCTGGAACCGCTTCAAAGATCTAATGAGGAGGTGTCCTCATTACCCCATGACCAATGGTGATCAGGTCAGGATCTTCTTCAACGGTTGTAAACCGGAAATCCGAATGGTTTTGAATGGTGCAGCAGGTGGTAGCATTAAGTCAATGAGAGCAAATGCGACTCTTGAATTGATTGAGAGGATGGCTGCCAATGAAAATGAAGTGCTGTCATCCAAGCCTAAGAGAGGAATCCTTCAACTGGAAGGTAATGATGCGGCGCTGGCTGAAAACAATTTGTTATCTCAGAAGATAGCAAATTTGACCTCAAGGCTTGACAAGATGCAGCTTGCTGGTATTCAGACTAAAGTTGCTGCTGTTATTTGTGAATATTGCAAGGAAGGTCATGAATCTAATGAATGTCCTACCTTGCTATCTGATGATCCTCCTCAACAAGTGCATGTTAATGGCGTTTGGTATGATCAGAGACCTCAGCCACAAAACATCCCTAGGAATCAGAATTATCCTTCTGGAGGCAATAATTTTTAGAGGAGAGTATAAGGAACTGGACTTGATTTCAAGTCTAATAATTATCTGCAGCCTCCACCAATTCCAGCTAACGAACCCTTTGATTTGGAGAGGTTAGTTGCACAAATGGCTCAACACTCTAGTGCTTTCATGGAGGAGACAAGGGCCAATACCAAGAACACACAGACTTATATCAGAAATTTGGAGACTCAAATTGGCCAACTGGCTAAGCAAATTGCTGATAGAACTCCAGGCACCTTCCCTAGTAACACAGTCACCAATTCGAGGGAAGATTGTATGGCCATCACAATTAGAAGTGGAAAAATACTTCCATCCCCCGAGGTTAAAGAAAAGCTAGACACTGCAGGTGAGCCAGAAAAAGAAAAAGAAATTGAAAAACCTGCTGAAGTGGTGAAGCCAGTGGAAAAGAAGAAGCATGAATTGAGTCCCGAATATGTGAGGGCCATGGCACCCTATCCTGAAAGATTCAAGAAGGATGCTCAGAAGCAACATTATGACAGATTTCTTGATATATTCAAGAAATTGCATGTCAACATTCCCTTTGCTGAAGCTCTGGCTTGCATGCCCAATTATGCTAAGTTCATGAAGGACTTGTTATCAAGAAAGCATAAGTTGCAAGAGTGCCAAACAGTAACACTCATTGAAGAGTGTAGCGCCATAATACAGAAAAAGTTTCCACCCAACCTTAATGATCCAGGGAGTTTCAATATTCCGATTGAAATTAGGAATACTAAAATTGGCAGGGCATTATGTGATCTAGGGGCTAGCATTAATTTGATGCCCCTTTCTGTTTGTAATTCCTTGGGGATCACCGAGTTGAAGCCTACTTTGGCATCTCTTCAACTTGCTGATAAGTCTGTAAGGAAGCCTAGTGGAATAATAGAAGATATTCTTGTGAAGGTGTACAAGTTCATCTAGCAAAGACGCTTGTTTTAGACCTTTCTTAGCTACATCTCGTGTCATGATTGACGTTGAGAATGGGAAGCTAAAGTTAAGGATGAATGATGAGTCTGTTACCATCCATGTCTTTGACTCTATGAAACAATCTTCTAGCAAGGGCGCTTGTTTTAGACTCGAGCAAGCGGGGAAGGAAGAGAAATCTTCTAGTCAAGAGCTTGATGAAGAACTTGAGGCGCATAAGATTGTTCCTGCTAAGGAAAAAACGAATGTAGTGTTTGAAGTTCCTGAAAAAGCTGATGATTACAAAGAAGATGGTACCTCAAAAGTGAAATTGAAGGATCTTCCTCAAACTCTAAAAGATGATGTCAAAGAGTTGAGGACGCCTCAAATGAGGCGTAATCCTACAAAGAAGAAGGCAATGAGAAAGGAAGTGGTGAAACTCTTTGATACGAGTTGGAAGAGACACCGGGAGCTAAAGTTTGACAAGAGACACCGAGACTCTATCTCTCGGAAAAATCAATGCTTCAAAGAGTTCCTCACATGGATTCATGGTCTGAATCAAATCTGGGAATGGTGGTCTCATACACCAAGGCATCCAGTACCACCGGATCCTCCATTTGCTGAGTCATCCCACGCTGCTGAAGGGGATGACATGGAGGGTTGATTATATCTCCTTGCTGACGGAGATTTTGTATATTAGTTTATTTTTCTGTTTCGTATTTTTAGTTACTTTGTGTTAGTATATCTCTCTCTGATGTTTTAACGTGCGCATTATAGTTTATCCTATATGCCACTGTTTGTTCCATTGTGCAGGTTTTTCTTCTTTCTTGTGGTTTAATTATTGCTGAGGACAACAATTCTCTAAATCTGGGAATGGTAGGCTTGCATCTTAGAACTGCTGCAATTCTTCTATCAGGGGAGATATTCTAACTCTTTTAATTTTCGTAGTTATTTTTGTAGTATTTTGTGTGCTCTTTATTTTTATCTAAAAAAAAAATGATCTGTTTTTCAAGCAATTTTCAGGTTTGAATGTGCTTATTTAGTTAATGTGCTTGACTGAATTTTGGGAAGCATGTTGTATGAACTTCTGGCATGATATTGTATGGGCATGAGTTGACTTCATGATTGCTCGTTTGTCTGAATTTTGTGATTGAATGATTAATGATGCCTGATATTTCTTGTGGAAGTCTAGCTTGACATCATAGCTGGTGAGGTTTTGTGCTTAAACACTTATTTTATTCTGAGAGACCTCACTGTGATAGCATTCTAGAACTTGCTCTGTTTCTCTGAGATGCATGCATTGGTTGATATGATAAAGGCATTTTGTTCTTGTCAGCTATTAGCTAAAAATAACCCACCTGTATGAATTTTTCCATTGCTAACCCTTTTGAGCCTGAGCCTTTTTGTTCATAATTCCTGATTGATGGCTTAGCCCATATCCATGTGACTTACCTTAATTGAGATTGAATTACTGATGTGTTGAAAAATAAAATAAAGAAATTGAGGTAAGCTCCACAAAGGTCAAGTAATTAGGGGAGGTAAAATGTCATTTGTGCCCTTAAAAGAAAAGAAAAAGAAAAAGGGTGAATGTAAAGAAAAGGTGGTTGATAGGAATTAATTCCCGAAATTCTGTGTGAATCTGAGTGGAGCAAAACCATTGAGTTGAATGTGTTAAAGTGAAATAATACCAGTTTTTCAATCTCATTGTTGTTTGAGCTACTTTCCATATATTCCTACCCATTAACCCGGCCAAGTTACAACCTGTGAAGTCCTTTTGATCAATTGATCCATGTGTTTGATTCTTCATTTTTAAGAATTGTTGAGAATATGATCAAGCTTATGGTAATGTTATTGCTGTGATGGATTGAGTGATTGTTACTCCCCCAAACACTTGAGTGTTGAGCGTTATATGTTTATCTTGGTGAGGGGTGTTCAAGCTAGATTTTGATATTTTCATGAGAATAGAAGGCATTGTTAGGAGTTCTTTGCATTGATTCAGTCATACTTAGCATAGTGATCTATTGATTGTCTGTGCGATGTTATGTTGGATTAATTGATTGTTTCCTGGATTAAGTCTTGTACATTGCTGCGGACGGCAACGTTTAAATCTGGGAATGATTTGATGTGCCTCTGGAATGTGATGTTTTCCAAGCCAAAAATAAAAAGAAATCAGTCATAAAAGAGCATTTTCTGTATATTAATTACTTTTATTAGTTAGTTCTCCTATTTCAGTTTATTTTTCATCTTTTATATCATCTTTGCAGGTTAAAGCAAGAAGAAATAGGAAAATTGAGAAAAATTGAAAAAAGGAAAGTGGCGCTACCCGCGCCACTTTGGCGCTGTTGCAACGCCGAAAATATACAAAGACCAGAGAGTTGGTGCGAGACCCGCGCCAGAATGGCGCTACCCGCGCGAGAAATCGACGTAGTGTAAAAAAGTGGCGCTAGACCCGTGCCAGAATGGCGCTACCCGCGCGGACTTCAGCATGGAGGCAATTTCGAACTTTAAAAGACGCTGCGAGGGTTCCTTTGGGGATACTTTTTGACGACGGAGCAGAACAAGGATTCGTGAGGGAGGAGAATAGTAGAGGATCGTTCTTCGTTTGTCCTAGTAATTTTATTTTGAATTATATTTTATAATTGTATGTCAGCTATGTCTGTGGCTGGCTAATTACTTTTTATTGTAGTTTGGGTCACGAGCCCTATGTGAACCCTTTTTACGCTGGATTGATTTATAATTCTCGTTTATATAATTATCTTTATCTCTACCCTGTTCGTAATTTATATTTTCTTTATTAGAATTGATCACTCTAATAGTAGATAATAGTCTGAGGGTTAGAACCCTAGATAGGGATATTGGGATTTTCATCCTGAAAGGGGGTAGGATAACAATTCGTATGCATGCTAGGAATAGATGTGTATTGAATTGCGGATGCCTAAATTATAGAGTTCATCGCTTAATTTTCATGAGGGGTGGCTAAGGTATCAGGATTCCAATTGAGATTAAAGGGTTAAATTGTCAAGGGATTGAGATTTAACTAATTATTTTAGATAATAATTTATCCGAGTAATTTTATAAATGAATATTGTAAATCAATCCAAAGTAAGAAGTGGGGATCATAAGGTGAGTGCGCTCTAGCTACAATGTTTTTCTCATTTTTACAAATCAATTCTCTTTTTATTATTCTTTTTCTTATAATTAAAAATACAAAAACTAGTCTTTATTTTCAATTCTCACTTTCACACAATCCCAATTACTTGTAACAAACAAACTCTTTTGAACTTTTTCATTCTTGAAAGGACTATTATTTGATATACGATCTCAATCCCTGTGGAGACGATATTCTACTTATCATTATATTACTCGGTATACTTGCCGGTGAGCATCACGAAGCCTACTTTGGGTTTCTACGTGGTAGCGAATCTAGTTCTGTTTTCTTCGTTTCTGTTGTCCATTATTTGCTTTTGATAACGAGTTACACACAAAAAATGTCATTTGAATGGACAAATTACCCGCCAATTTCAGGCAGCTACTAGTTGTCTCATATTAATAGGAGATGTATAACTTGAAGGACCATTAAAAATTCTGTCAGCAAAGATACGAGAAGCTGCCTCCGTAGGATGGAATTGATCCCAGAAGATGTGGTCTTGTCTATTGGGACAAAGGTTTGACACAGGCAGGCAAGGAGCCCTGGCATTCAGCACTCCTAATCCACAACAAGCAGCTTTCACCTCTGCAAATCCTGAAAGGGATATAAATTCGTTTTAGAATTCAATTTCATGAAATATTAACAAAAGATTAATAATACTTCTTAAAAAATAATCATATAAAACATGTGGCAGTTGAAATAAACTATTACACTCCTCCTCATGTGGGTCGTGAGTCGTGATGTCTAGGCTAATTATAAGGTAATAATGAGATACATGAAAGTACGATGAACGATGATACCATAGGAAGCTGGATTCTGAATGAGGTCGCTGATGGCAGCATAAGTGTCAAAGTAGGAGTAGATTATGCCTCTATTCTCCGATTGCCATTCCTTCAACATGGATTGAAGGCCCTCATTATATTTAACCGACCAGTAGTTGGCTTCTACCAAGCATTCCGTGTTGTTCTTGAGCCTGAATTCAGGACAGCATCCAATTGCCCCAACTCCCGCAATCTCAAATTTACGGCCACCAAGATCGTATAATCGCTGCCAAAAAAAAAAAAAAAAAATAGTGCCACCGAAAGAACAAATACAAAGTAAATAACATATTATTAAGTCAGGATAAAAAATTTGCAAAGTGATGTGATGGGTAAAACAATGTTATATATAACTCGTTAGCATCATGTCATGTGTTACCTGTAGTTGTACTTTTAGTGAGAAAGCCATGGAATCCACATACTGCTGTGGAGTGCTTTTCCTACGAAGATCCGATGACTCAAAGTATCCAAACAGATCGTTGCTGCCAATCACCACAGTGAAAATTGATTTTGAAAGATGCTTCTGTAAAGCAGCTGCTCCTACTTCTTGTGTCATTTCCTCATGCGCAAGCGAGTAGGAGTCTACTTGTCTTGTCAACGGTATTGATTGCTTCTGGAGTAAAAATAATATAAGCAACAACAGTATAATGCGGGGATAGCTCAGTTGGGAGAGCGTCAGACTGAAGATCTGAAGGTCGCGTGTTCGATCCACGCTCACCGCAATTTGGCTTTTTTTTTTCTTAGTTTTTGTCAATTTTATTATTGTGGGCCGAGTTTGGGCAATTCAAATATGTCCATTTTTTTTTGTTTTTTTTAATCATATGTCCACTTCTAAACAAAGGGAACCACGTTACTATCTCTATCGCCGGGTCACCCTCTCTCAGCATGACCTACTTTTTGGGCCCATTCGGAGCATTTTCCCATAACCCTATTTGGGGTGTATTTTGCACACATTGTACTGTAGGCGTCTAGGCGACGAATTTGAAAATCTAAATTAAATTAATTTAGATAATTAGTTTATTTGGCATTAAATTTAATTTAAATGAATTTTCTTGGACTTGGTTTTCACATTCATAATTTTTTAATCCAAGACTTAAACTCTCAACCCAATCACTTTCTTTTTAAGCTTTAAAGTTTGGTATTTTAGATATCTTATCTTCTTCTATCTTTTCCTCATTCATTTTAACGTTCTCTCACCTAGTACTCAATTATTACCAAATGCCTTTAGTTATATTTACTATCTACGTTCCCATAATATTTTACATAAAGAGAAATATAATATGATAAAAAAGTTAAAATATTAATAAAATGTAATATTAACATTTGAAATTTATTTAATTACTATCTTGAATAATGAAAGAGCAAGAAACCAAAATTTTAGTTTAAAGAAAAAAAAATTGCGGGCGAGGACAATTTGTATTTTTGCTTTAATCCAATAATCCGAACTAGATTAAGTTTGTTAAAAAAAATTACCGGCCAGTTTGATTTATTTTTATTTTTTTACACTAAACCAGAATCAAACTAACCCGTGAAGACTACTCTACACAGGAAAAGTAAGAAAAGGAAAATATATATATATGGGAAAAAGAAAACTGGAACTACACTTGCTCACTTACAAAACGTTCATCTGTACCATCAAATATTCCAGCTCCTCCAGAAGCAAAGCTAACACCATTCATGAAAGATTCATTGTTTTTGTTGGCCTTTGATATTAGGGAGAGGTAAGGTGGCGAAGTTGCCAAACCCAATTTCTCAGCTGCAAGCCACCCCATCATTCATTTCAGCCAAATATAATTAAAAACGGAAACTCTATTATCAATATATGTCTCTATATTTTACTAGTGTGTGTCTCAATAAAATAGCGACAAGTTAATGACAGTAAGATTTGGACCTCTATCTATGTACATTGTATATTATTACCACCATTCTATTGTCTTGCTCTTGGCCATGACCACATAGTTAACTTTATAAAAGTTTTGATTTTTATAATGAGAAACTTTATGAAGTTTTCCGTAGTTTGTGCACCAAACCATCTACATCTGGACCCATGTTATTATTTTTTTATGCTTTTCGGGTGTCAATTCACATGTTCGTGTCTTTTTTTAAGTTTTTTGGGTGCCATTCCATCAACCATACGAGTTTCTTACAGAAGAAAATTTGCAGAAAACAAATCAGAGTTTAGTTTGCTCAAAAATATTTGTCCACAATAGATATATAATTCCATAACAAATTGTAGCCAATTATAAATCAGAGATTTAGTTTGCAAAATATCCAGTTATTCCTCGCCATAAAATATATATATAACTCACACAATACTAAGAAATAATAAATTGGACAATAGATAGAATTCAATAAATGAAAAATTATTGTTTAAAGAAGGGAAGTGCTATTCTCAAAACTGGATGTTGAAAAACAGAAGTTAATGATGAGACTATAAAATAGAAGATTGTAAAGGACCAATATATGGTTTTGGAATTTTCATAACACTATTGTCATTTTCAAATCATATATGTAATCAACACAAGATTTTATGAATATATGAAGAGCCAACAGAGTAAATTTTTAATCACTTACCAATAAAATCTGCAGCATTCTTGCCGTTGCTAAATCTCCCAGTTGGTTTCTGGTTAGGAAAATCAATACCATAATGACGATGATTTGCCTTAGCAATGGAAAGAGTCAAGTAATTGTTGTTTCCCACGTCTACAAGTGAGTCCCCAAACACATAAACAGCCGGAACCATTTGAGCCTTTGAGAAACCAGAGCTGAAGATAAAGACAGAGATCAAGAGAAACGAACACCCCAGGAAAGTTTTGTAACTCATCTTGGTATGTATGTCTCTGCTTGAAATTGGTTTTGGTTGTGGGTGTGTGGAGGTAAACAAGTGTTTGATTGATATTTAAAGATACCCCAAAAGTGGATAAAGGGTACACGTTTATGTGTGAAAAGAAGAAATTTGATTAAAGGGTAGTGAGTGTGAGAGTTAGTGGAGCAAAAGAGAAATCTCCAGATACTCAACCCACTTAGATTGATACTTTATTTCATTGTCATGAGATGTTAATGGGACAAGTATTGGTGTTGTCAAAAGTAAAATCTTAAATTGTGCTTTGGTCTCTTTACCTAAGTTAAGAAGCTAAATTTGTTTAATAACCCAACTAGGCAATTGTATGTTGTTGTAAGTTTTATGATCTTATATGTATCAAAGACACAAATAAATCATCCATTCATCACGTGACATCCTATATCTGATTGGCCAAAAGGGAATCAGTTCATGACCTTTGAAAACAAATTGATATTTACGTATACCTTCTGCTCTTCACGATTTAATTTAATAAAAGGCTTGTAAACCTGAGTCAGCCACATCAAAATATGCAGTATCCGACAAGTTAAAGCTTTGTTCAGCACAAAGTAAAAGGTTCTATACTTACTATATTCTATAAATAATATTCTGAACTTAAAGCCATGCCAAACTCTCAATTTCAGTTACCCCTCCAAAAATAAATAAATAAATAATAATTTGGTTTTGAAAGCTATAAGTATTAGATGGGAATTTCAACTTTTCACAGACAACACTACCTTGCCACTATCCCTCACCCAGTCCAGTCTGGCATCCATTTATGTTTTGGTGAGCCAAAATATGCTTCTGATTCGCATTCGATGCACCCTCACCGCCCCATATTCATCCCACTTCCATATGTTTATTATGATTTTGTTCCCATTAGAAGTTCTAAGGAAACAAGAAGCAATAGAATTCTTTCAGAGAGATAGTGTTTGGTTCGAGAGAAATGTTTTTTGCCAGGGAAATGTAATTACTAGGTATCTGAGGAGAAAATGAGTTATATAGGAAAGTTTAAAAAATGTTGTTTGGTTGAGCAAAATTTTACCAGAAAAATTGAGTTAAATTACTGAATGTGTGTTTGGTTGAAGATAAAATATAGATGAAAAAATTTAATCAAATTATAAAAGAACCCCCAATTGAAATAACCCTGTATTTGTTAACACTGGTTTTATCAACACTGGTTCGAAGTATTGTTCTCCCACTAACAAATATAAACAAACCGACCTTTTTTACCCAGAGCTATTGTTAGAACTAACAGATATTGTGATAAGCCATACACAGTTCATATGGGGTATACGCTTTGTGACATAATTTTGCTTAAATTTCTCAGTATGCTATAACTCTTATATGATATTCTGTCTGAAACAAAATGCTGCACATGGGTTTGGTTCAGCCCTGCTTATGCTTCTTGCCACCAGCCAGAATGTGCTGGATTTGAAGACCTCGGTTGAATGCTTGGTTGAATAGCAGCCTAGTTTGGAATTCTGAAACAAATGGGAACCAAGTCAAAATTCCCCAGCTAGTTAGATTTGGCATGTGGCTGAGATTTTCTTCCGAGGATAAGATGAGGGGCTACTTTGTCAAAAAATTTGTCCCCTTTTCAAGTTGTCCGGTATTATTGAATAATACCATGGTTGAAAAGGGTTTCTTCAACAGTAGAAATTGCTCTCATTTACACTAAAACGCAGATAGCTGGGGAAGGAACTTTGATGGCTAAATTTTGGGTAATCCCTCAACCAAACGTGGAGAACTCAGTTACTCACATGCACTTTGCTAGGATACTAACTAAAAGTCCCGAACCAAACACCACCAAAGTCATCTTACATCTAGCATTTTATAACAAGACACTGAATATAATTTAGTTTTACTGACTGATTATTATTTTTTACATTATAATATAGGAGAAGGATTCGTTCACAAATTTTTTTTTTACAAATTACACTAAGTATGACCGGTCATACACTCTTGATTGAAGTATGACTGGTCATACTTAATGTAGTTTGTAAACAAAAAATTTGTAAATACAACATTCCCCTATAATATAATTGTATTGTTATATGATTATGAGTGTTTGGCTTCTTAGATTATTATTATTATTATGATTAAACTATTTTAATAATATTATAATACTTGATTAAATATAAGGCTTCACAGTATATCAAAATTTAAATCTTAACCTTTTCACCAAAAAATTAATATCAAAATATTAACCTAAATGATATGAGTTTTGCATAAGTAAATTGTTTTTGCCTTTTCTACAGGGACTAATTTGTATTGAATAAAATTAATATAAAAACTAATGCAGCAATGCAAATTTAAAATTAACATTTCCCTTGATACGTTTGTAATCCCCCACCAACTTCCATCCAAGACATTTTAAGAAAAAAGGAAACTATCATTCTCTGACATCCAAGGAAAAAAAATCTTCTCTAAAATTCTTCTTCTTCTTCTTTTTTAATTTCTCTTGCGATATGTCGTTTTACTCGGCTTGGCTCCATGTTCATCCTTTCAATTAAAATACGCCGTTTTAGAAGCTTCCCTAAGAATCTAAGACTTTGACACAGATATATTTAGCATTTGTTGCACTTAAAAGGACTCACGAGACGAGACATTAATTAAGGTTGTGTTCGAATTTTTTTTTATAAGAAGTATTTTTGTTACTCTTTTAAAAGTTATTTGTTTAGTCTCTTTTTCTGAATTTTTTATTTTAAGAAATTTTATCCGATTATCTCCAAAGTTTTTAGACGTGATTATTGGTAAAAAAAATTATTTAAAAAACATAAATAATAAAAGACCCTAATGTCTTTGTGCAAAGCTTCGTAAAATACTTCCAAAAGGTTTCAAAAGGTATCCGACCAATCTCCAATCAGTAAACAAAACCTAAAGAATCATACTTTGCAATTGTTTTTACTTTTTAGGAAAGCAACATACTTTACACCTTATGTATGCATTGAAATCAACTCCAGGGAGGATTAGGAGGTGCATGACATTTTTTTTGGAATTAATTTTTTTAATTTATATTCTCGGGAAATAAAAATGGATAGAAAAATTGTTTGGTAAAATCAGATTATTTTTTTGTTCACAGAATGAATTGATTTAATTTTTGTGCTGAGGAATAGAAAAAAGAAATAAAAAAATTCTGTTTTTTTGTTCCCGGGCACAAAATGAGAAATACTTATCTCAATCACTCTCCACCACTATCATCATCACCACCACCACCATCATCTCGACATGACCACCGCCACCATCGTCGCCGCTGTCATCGTACCACTACTGTCGTCGTCATCACCACCACCACTACCATCATTGTCACCAACCACCACCGCATCATCGAAGCCACGGTCGTAACCACAACTACCACGTCACCACCCCCATTATCATCACTGTTACCACCACTACCATCACCATGCCACCACCACCATTATCGCCACCATCACCACCACTACCACCACCACTACCATGTCATCACCACCACCATTACTATCATCACTGTCACCAACCACCACCGCCATCATCGCAGCCACCGCCGAAACGACAACCACCACGCCACCACCACCATTATCATCACTGTTACCATCACCATCGCCAACACTACCACCACCGTCACCAACCACCACTATCATTGCCACCACTACCACCACCACCACTATCGTCACCGTCACCATCACCACCACTATCATTGCCGCAGCCACTACCGTAACCACCACCACCTTGTCATCACCGCCACCACCACTACCATCCTCATGCCATCACCACCACGACCACCTCCATCGCCGCAGCCACTCACCATCACCATCACTGTCTGTAACACCCCCAAATTTTTAACAATTTATAATAACATAAAATTTCTAAAATCATAAATAACTAGGAAATTTAAATTAACCAAATTTGAAAAATGTTACCGCACTTGTATTATGGAAAATAAAACACAAACAATCATAAGATTTATTACATTAAAATAAAACCAAAGACTAAAGTTTAAATAAGGAAAATATGTCTTATGCATTTATTAAATCTCATAAGATTTCTAAACTTAGGAACTAGCTAGAAATATCTGAGCTGTGATCCTCACTGCCCGCAACTAGCCCCATCCTTTGCAACCCGCTTCATTGAAAATCTGCTCCCCCGTAGGATCATTGCAGCAAAACAATCACAAACACAAACACAAACAGTCAGCAAAGCTGGTAATCCCAATCCAATATACAAAAATAAATAAATAAAAATATAACTCATAATAATCCAATCAAATAATATAACTCAAAATTTCAAATCAAGTATCAACTCGTTATTAATTATATTAATCTTTATTTAATCCATTTAGTGTATTTAGTGAGAAGAGAACCATGGTAGACCTGGGAAACCCTGTTGCCAGTTTATCCTGTGAGCCGGAAAACCCTGTTGCCAGTCATGTGTAATCAAAATTGGCCATATCAAAATATCAAATCATAGTGTGCACACCTCTTCCCAAAGTTGCTACAAGTACCCCAGAAAACCCTGTTGCCAGATATCACTTTGGGAAGAACGAAAAACATCATTGTCACATCATGTAATATCGAAGGCATAAAGTCCAAAGGTTGTGTTCATCACTTTTAAGAGGTACCATCCCAAAAGCTATCTTTCCACTATTATTTATTACAATCACACACAATCAATAAAATTCAATATTATCACAATGCTTATAATTGGAAAAATTTCTCAAATATTTTTCATAATTTCCACATCAATTTGATCAATAGTATAATTTCCAAATTCAATTTTTCAATAATATCATAATTTTCAAATCCATTATCCAAAATATCATAATGTTCATATTCAACATCTACCAGAGTAAAACCCAAATCTAATTATTATATCATAATTTTCCAAATCAGAATTTAAAGAGTAAAACCCAAATGCAATCATCGTATTATAATTTTCCAAATCAGAATTCAAAGAGTAAAACCCAAATGCAATCATCATATCATAAATTTCCAAACCAAAATTCAAATATTCACATCTATTAGAGTAAAGCCAAAGTCAAATAATTAATCCAATTAATTTCTA